GAGTTTCTTTCGGGCGGTTTGTTCCTTCTTCTGAAATTCTCTAGTTCTTTTCGAGCGGTTTTCTCCTTGTCTTCAACTTCAGTAGTCTCTTTCGAAAGTCTGTTCCGAGCGGTTTGCTCCTACTTCTGCAATTCTCTAATCCCTTTCGAGTTCCTTTCGAGCGGTTTGCTCGTTGTTTTCCAAGTTCCCTAGTCTGTTTCGAGCGGTTTCCTCCTTGTTCTGAAATTCTCTAGTTCTTGTCGAGCGGTTGGCTCCTTGTTTTCAATTTCTCTAGTCTCTTTCGAAATTCCCTGGCCCCTTCAGCAATTGTCTACTTCCTTTCGAGCGGTTTGCCCACTCTTCTGAATTTCTCTAATTCCTTTCCGGGTTTGGTCCTTGTTTTCAAACTCTTCAGCGCTTGTCGTTATTATCCATCTATAGTCTATAGTCTTTTTTCAGCGGGTTTCTAATCGTATTCAGTTTCTCTAATCTCTTGCTAAACTCTCTAGTCTCTTTAAAGCGGTTGGCTCCTTACGTTGAATTTTTCTAGTCCCTTTCGAGAGGTTTGATCCTTGCTTCCACTTTCTCTAGTCTCTTTCGACATCTCTAGTCTCTTTCGAGTGGCTTGCTCCTTGTTTTCGAGAATTCTAAGTCCCCTTTGGAGCGGTTTGTTCCTTGTCTTCAAATTAGTCTCTTTCGAACGGTTTGTTCCTTCTTCTGAAATTCTCTAGTTGTTTTTTCGAGCTGCTTTCCCCTTGTTTTCAAACTCTCTAGTTTCCTTCGAAATTCTCTAGTCCGTTTCGCTTTCGTCGCCTTCGAGCGGTTTGCTCCTTGTTCTGAAACTCTCTAGTTGCTTTCAAGCGGTTTGCTCCTTGTTTTCATCTTCTCCCGTCTCTTCTCAAGTTCTCTAGTCTCTTTGTGCGGTTTGCTCCTTGTTGTCAAATTCTCTAGTCCCTGTCGAGGTTCCCGACCCTCTTTCGAACGGCTTACTCCGGCTTCTGCAAGTTTCTAATTCGGTTCCTTCGGTTTGCCCTTGTTCTGTAGTTCCTTCCGAGCTGTTTGCTCCTTGTTGTCAAATTCTCTAGTCTCTTTCGAAATTCTCTAGACTCTCGTCTCTTTCGAGCGGCTTGTTCCTTCTTCTGAAATTCTCTAGTCCCTTTCGAGCGGTGTGATCCTTCTTTTCAATCTCTCCCATCTCTTTCCAAATTCTCTAGCCGTTGTTCTGAAATTCTCCAGTTCCTTTCGAGCGGCACGCTCCTTGTGTTCAACTTCCTCTGGTCTTCTTCGAAATTGTCCTACTTTTTTCGAGCGTTTGTTCCTTGTGTTCGTCTTCTCTAGTCTCTTTCGAAGTTCTTTATGTCTCTGTCGAGCGGTGTTTTGTTTGTGTTTTCGGAATTTCTAAGTCCCTTTGGAGCGGTTCTCTCCTTGTTTTCAAGTTCTCTAGTCCCTTTCCACATTCTCTAGCCTCCTTCGAGCGGTTTGCTCCTAGTTCTGAAGTTCTCTAGCTCCTTTCAAGCGGTTTGCTCCTTGTTTTCAGAATCTCTGGTCTCTTTCGAAGTTCTCTAGTCTCTTTCGAGCGGTTTGCTCCTTATTCTGCAATTCTCTAGTTCCTGTCGGGTTCCTTTCCAGAGGTTTGCTCCTTCTTTTCAAATTCTTTAGTCTCTTTTTGGCGGTTTGCTCCTTGTTCTGAAATTCTCCTTGTTTTCAATTCCTCTATCCTTGTCCCTTCAGCAATTGTCGAGTTCCTTCGAGCGGTTTGCTCCTTGCTTTTAATTTCTCTACTCGCTTTCGAATTTCTCTAGTCCCTTTCGAGGGGCTTGCTCCTTCTTCTGAAATTCTCTAGTTCCTGTCGAGTTCCTTTCGAGCGGTTTGCTCCGTGTTTTCAATCTCTAGCGTCTTACGAAATTCTCTATAGTCTCCTTCGATGGTTCGCTCCTTCTTCTGAAATTCTCTAGTTCTCTTCGAGCGGTTTGCTCCTTGATTACAAAGTCTTTAGTGCTTTCGACATCATCTACCTGCAGTCTGCTTTGAAGGGTTTGCTCCTTCTTCAAACTCTCTAGTTCCTTCCGAGCAGTTTGCTTCTTTTTTTTTCATTGACAAGTCTCTGCTGATTTTCCCTAGTCTTTTTCGAGCGGTTTGCTCCTTCTTCTGAAATTCTGGTTCCTTTCCAGTTCCTTTCGAGCAGTTTGCTCCTTGTTTTTGAAAAGCCTCAAGTCTTTTTCGAAATTCCGTCGTCTCTTGCGAACGGTTTGCCTCCCCTTCTTCTGAAATTCTACGGTTCTTGGAGGGGTTGCCCCTTGTTTTTGAAATTCTCTAGTCTCTTTCGAAATTGTCTCTTTCGGGCGGTTTGCTCCTTGTTCTGAAATTCTCTAGTTCCTTTCGAGCAGTTTGCTCCTTGTTTTCAAACTCCCTAGTTTCTCTCGTCTCTGTCGAGTGATTTTCTCTATGTTCATCGAAATTTCTAAGTAGCTTTGGAGCGGTTCTCTCGTTGTTGCCAAACTCTCTAGTCTCTTTGAACAACTCTAGCCTCTTCCGAGCGGTTTGCTCTTGGTTCTGAAATTTTCTGGTTCCTTTCCAGCGGTTTTTGCTCCTTGTTTTCAACAACCTCTTTTATTTGTCGAATTGCTCTAGTCTCTTTGCAGAGGTTTGCTCCTTGTTCTGAAATTCTCTGGCTCCTTTCGAACTTCATCTCCTTCGAGTGGTTCGCTCCCGTGTTCTCAAGTTCTCTAGTCCTTTTTCGAGCGGTTTGTTCCTTGTTCCTAAATTCTGTAGCCTCCGAAAAATGCTCCTCGTTTTCATACTCTCTAGCGTTGTTCGAAGTTCTCTATCTATAGTCTCCTTGGAGCGGCGTGCTCTTTGCTTTCAATTCCTCTAGTTCCTTTCGAGCGGTTTGCTCCTTGTTTTCAAACTGTCTAGTCACGTCTCTTTCGAAATTCTCTTGTTTTTGCTTTCGAACGGTCCTTCTTTCCAAACTCTCTAGCGTCCTTCGGAACTCTCTATAGTCTCCTTCCGTGCAAGACCTTCTCCCGATACTCTCGGTTTGCTCCTTCTTCTGAAATTGTCTAGTTCCTCTCGAGCGACTTGCTGCTTGCTTTCAATCTCTCCAGTGTCTTTCGAAATTCTCTAGTCTGCTTCGAGCTCTTTGCTCCTTCTTCTGAAACTCTCTAGTTCCTTCAGAGCAGTTTGCTCCTTGATTTCAATTTCACAAGTCTCTGTTGATGTTCTCTAGTCCTTTTCGGGCGGTCTGCTCCTTCTTCTGAAATTCTCTGGTTGCTTTCCAGTTCCTTTCGAGCCGAGCGGTTTGCTCCTTGTTTTGAAAAACCTCTAGTCTTTTTCCGAAATTCCCTCGTGACTTCCAATTCTCTAATGTCTTTCGAAATTCTCTAGTCTCTTTCGAGCGGTTTGCTCCTTCTTCTGAAATTCTCTAAATTCTCTAGTGTGCTTCGAGCGGCTTGCTTCTTCTGCCATTCTCTAGGTCCTTTCGAGCGGCTTTCTCCATGTTTTGAAATTCTCTAGTCTCTTTCGAAATTCTCAGGTATCTTTCGAGTGGTTTGCTCCTTCTTCTGGAAGTCTCTAGTTTCTTTTGAGCAGTTTGCTCCTGGTTTTCAATCGCTGTAGTCTCTTCCGAAATTCCCTCGTCCATTTCGAGCGGTTTGCTCCTTGTTTTCAAACTCTCTAGCCCTTGTACTCAAATTCAAAAGTCTCTTTCGAGCGGTTTGCTCCTTCTTCTGAAATTCCCTAGAATTTGGAGCGGTTTGGCTCCTTGCCTTCAAATCCTCTAGCCTCTTTGGAAATTCTGTGGCTTCTTTCGGGTGGTTTGCCCCTTCTTCTGAAATTCTCTAGTTCTTTTCGAGCGGTTTGCTCCTTGATTTCAACTTCTCTAGTCCCTTTCGAAATCCTCTAGTCTCTTCCGAGCGCTTTGCTTCTTCTTCTGAAATTCTCTAGTTCGTTTCGAGTTCCTTTCGAGCGGTTTGCTCCTTGTTTCCAAATTCTCTGGTCTCTTTCGAAATTGTCTCTTTCGAGCGGTTTGCTCCTTGTTCTGAAATTCTCTAATTCTTTTCGAGCGGTTTGCTCGTTGTTTTCAGCTTCTCTAGTCTCCGTCGAAATTTCCCTGTCAGCAATTGTCTGGTTCCTTTCGAGCGGCTTGCTCCCTCTTCTGAAATGTCTAGTTCCTTTCCAGCGGTTTGCTCCTTGATTTCAAACTCTGTAGTGTTTTTCGATATTATCTATCTATAGACACTTTCGAGCGGCTTTCTCTTTGCTTTCAGTTTCTCTGGTTTTTTGTAAATTCTCGAGTCTCTTCCGAGCGGTTTGCTCCTTATTCTGAAGTTCTCTAGTTCCTCTCGAGAGGCTTGCTCCTTGTTTTCAACTTGTCTAGTGTCTTTCGAAATTCTCTAGTCGCTTTCGAGTGGTTTGCTCGTTACTGTCGCGAATTCTAAGTCCCCTTTGGAGCGGTTTGTACCTTGTCTTCAAATTCGCTAGTCTCTTCCGAACGGTTTGTTCTTCGTCTGAAAGTATCTAGTTGTTTTCGAGCGGCTTGCTCCTTGTTTTCAAACTCTCTAGTCTCCTTCGGAATTCTCTAGTCCCTTTCGCTTTTGTCGCTTTCGGGCGGTTTGTTGCTTGTCCCCAAACCCCAAACCCTGAAGCCTGAACCCTATACCCCAAACCCAAAACCCTCTAAACCCGCTAAACAACAAACCCTAACTCAACTCTAAACCCTGAAAACCCTAAACCCTCTAAACTCCCAACCCTAAACCCTGAACCCTGAACGGCAGAACCCTAAACCCTGAACCCTGATCCTCTACTTGGAGGTTCATGGGTAGTTATAGGTAGGGTTATAAGTCCCCCAATATGGGTTCTAAGTATAGTTACCCTACTTATAACCCCACTTATAACTACCCATGAACCTCCAAACCCTAGAACCTAAACCCTGTAGAACCCTTTAAAGGAACCCTTAAAGGAACCCCTAATAATCCCACTTAAACCCTAAACCCTAAACGTAAGTGACCCTCAGCCCAGACCTCCGCCGTCGTCCGCCGCCGGGTGCCCACAGCGCCGGGCTCGGCCAAGGCCGGGTCTGGCTTCCATGCTTTTAAAGCTTCCTTTTCAGGTATAGGGCTGAGGTTTTATAAAGGTTTAGGGTTTAGGGTTTAGGGTTTAGGGTTTAGGGTTTAGGGTTTAGTAGGAGTTAGGATTAGGGGGACCCTTGGGGATATAGACCCTCTCAATAAGGTCCGTAACATATTCCTGTCCTGGCTCATGCAGGATGATGTCCATCGGCAGTAAGGTGAGGGCTGTTGGTTGTTGCGGGTGGTTCGGTTCCAATGCCAAGAAAAAAGCCTCCGTGCTTTCAACCCTAAACCCTAAACCCTGACGCAATTTAGGCCCTATAATCCCGAAACCCTAGGCCCGAAACCCTAAGTTGCCTGGCCACATCGCTCCCTCCAGTCCTAAACGCCCCATGGACCCGAGCCCTAACCCTAAACTAGAAAGCCCAAAGCCCAACTGAAACACCATAAACCCCAAAACCCTCATGAAATCGCCACTTAAGCAAGAAACGAGGCCCAACTTGGTATAAGCAGATCTTCAAGACCATGAGCTGCCCCGCTGATATCTTGAGGGCTGGGCACCTTTAAAACTTACCTGCATGCTATTGGTTTATAGGAACGGTACCAACAGTAGCAAGAGTGATACAGTTTGTAGGCTGCCTGTAAAGGCAAGCATCTTAATGAAAAGTTGCAGCAACAGCAACGATGACCAGCGACAGTCATCATGGTGGGTGCCTTAATTCTAGTGCAACTGTTCTTGTTTGATCAGCTTAAACATTGCGAAATATTGCTACCACCAACACACGCCCCTAGGGCATACCAAACTGCACGATGGTAGGCCCCGGCGGCGTGCATTTGTGGCTGTGTTTGTTACTGTTGATGCTGTTCAACATTTAAGCTCTCCTTGCCGTACCATACTATCTTGATACTAGTACTAGTCTAGGTTGGCCCTTCGTCTGGAAAATGTTCGTACAAAAGATCCCCGAAAGGCCAACGACAGAAAATATGAAAATACGCCACTGGCCTACCTAGTACCAAAACGCGTAGTGTTAAGCGATCTCCAACTCCAACTTCCTTGGTTCTTTGTAATAGGCTACCCGTCTGAGTAATGCAAGGGCCTAGAGGATTGGGATTAGAAGGGTTGTGTAGTATCTGATACTCTCAGAGATAAAAGGACTCTAGGAATAATATTGCTAAGTACGCAAGCCTCTATTTATTGTACAACCTGAAACACCTAAACCCCAAACCCTGAACCTGGAACTCCCTAAACCCTACTCCAAACCCCCAATTCCATAAACCCTAAACCGTAAGCGCCAAACTCAACCTCCCTAAACCTGAACCCACTCCCCAAACCCTAAACCCAAAATTACATTAGTAACCCTTCCTCTGCCTCGGGAGCCGCGGAGGAATCTGGCTCCAGTAAAGTCCACTTCCGACCTCGGCGTTCCGGGTTTCGGCTTTACGATTTGGGTTTTAAGGGTTTTAGAGTTTAGGGTTGAGGGGGTTGGGGTTTATGGTGTAGGGGTTAGGCTTCAGTTTTTCTGTAGAGTGTCTCTGGGACTTGAATTCCAAAACCAAAGGGCTTCGGTTCAAGGATTTGGGATTTGGCTTTAGGGTTTGGGAGATCCGGGTCTAGGCTTTAGGGTTGCTTCGCGCTCTTTGCTGGGGCTGAGGGGTTTGAGGCTCTGGGTTGCGGCTCTGGGGTTCTCGGGCTGGGGGTTCACGGATTAGGGCTTCGTGTTTCAGGTTTAGCGTGTGGATCTTGGGGCTGCATTTAGGGTACTATTGTTGTGGGTACTTTTGCTAGTAACCATTGGGGCTAATGCTAACAGCAACTGCTCTCGAGACATGTAAATATAATTGCACAATATGAACAGTTCTGCTACTACCAACAAGTACTACCATTGCCGCTCTCGCTCCCTCTCCTGCTCCAGCTCCTACTCTTGCTCCTACTCCGACTCCTGCTCCTGCT